GCAAACAAAAACTCCAGAAAACCGTATGTAAGACAGACTGAGGCTTTACTGATGGTCGTTTCTGTAAAACTAAACAAAATACAATACGAAGCATGAATCAGTATACAGCAGACAGTACATATAGCACATATCCATAGAGTATGAACTAAAGATGACCATGTAAATGGTTACATGTGGCGAACTTCCATAAACTTAATACAATAAACATAAACTACTTTTTCATATGTCTATTAACATCTACAATCTTTTCTAGTCACATTTTTACTCACGGACATATCTTTTCCAAGGCTCGATCGAAAGGAAATAACTGTCTTGCGTGCACATGGTATATAGCTCGTTGCTCAACTGAAAACAAAATGGTGGAAGGAAATTATTACCAAAAAAAAAATTAAAACCACCGTCAACGTCCACCGGGGGTCAGTAGTGTCAGTAAAACAGGGATCAGCACACACCGTAAGTCCGATTGACTTGAAATTTCTCACACAAGTGCAGCTCAATGTGCTCTACAAAAAAGCTTCAAGGACTGTTAAGGTCCGCCTAGAGTTTTTTTCCGCCATTTTGAATTTTTTGAAAATCACATTTTTGACATCTCCTCCTAGACCGTAGCTCCGATTGCCACCAAATTTTCAGTGAAACATCATTGGATCAAGCCTATTAAAAGTTGTATAAAGCATGTCGACATCTCAATTACTTTTCAAGATATGGACCAATGAACTTTGAAAGGGGCGTGCCTCTGGACATGAATGACCACAAATCAGCAACCGTAGGGCCAATCATCACAAAACTCACAGGATATGTTCAGATAGGTGCCCCAGATATACCTGGACAGTTTGATGTACATACGTCACTAGGGGGCGCTACAAGCACAAGACAGGTGCTTAGCATTACACAAATTACACTATAAATCCAATATTCATTCTGAAATCATCATAAATCTCTCAGGATATGTCCACATAAGTAAATGAAACATGCCCTGAAAGTTTCATTCAAATTGAACACCCGAGTGCGCTATAAATGCAAACTAACTGCAGGGGATAAAACACAAAACAGGCTACAAAATGCATATTGTTTGTCCAATCAACACAAAACTTGCAGGATATGTCTAAATCAGCACCTCACGCATACCCTGAAAGTCTCATTCAAATCCACCACTAGGGGGCGCTATGAATGCATCGTAACTGGATGTGGAATGATACAAATCAAGCTATAGATCAGAAAATGGTTGTCCAGTTATTACAAAACTTGCAGTATGTGTTTTATAAAAATGTTGAACCGTATGTGTGAAATAATTTTGATATATATTCCGCGATATTGCGGAAAAAGGTATGAACCTGCGAATCGCCGCTTGCGGCTATATTTAGGGCCCGAGCACGACCGTGCGAGGTCCCTATTGAAATTGCTCGGATTTTTTTTTTTTTTTTTTTTTCTGCAAAGTAGGCCCAAATGACATGGCCTAAACATACTCGAAAACTCACCAAAATTTGCAAACATGTCAGAACCGGTGAAAAATTTCGTATTCTACAAGTTTCGCACATGGGCGTGGCAAAATGACTCGCTAGCGCCACCTAGAAAATTGGAAATGATTAGCCCCTCGTTCACGTTCAACCTACATGTACGAAATTTTCTGGGGACATGTATCGTATCAAGACGCACAAAAAAGCCTCAAGAACCCATAGCCTAAAGTCAACAGGAAGTCGGCCATTTTGAATTTTATGGCCATTTTTGGATGATTTACATACTTCGTACTTTAACGAACTCCTCCTAGGGATTTAGTCGGATCGACGTCAAATTTCTGCTGTGCCTTCTAAAGGCATTGACGATGAAAAGTTGTGCTATTTGCGCGTTTTCATCAATGGGCGTGTCCGTGGCGTCGATGATTCGCAATGAAACAGGAAGTTGTTGTAACTTCAGTGTACATGCTCACATCCGGATCAAACTGTACATGTAGGATGAGAGTCCCGCCCTGAACACATGTACATGCCGACATTCACCCACAGTCATAGCGCCACCTGCTGGCAACAGAAAGTGACCTTTAACGAAGCAGCCCCCGCCGCACGTTTCACCTACGTGCACGAATTTTCTGTGGTACGTGTATCTTGTCCAGACGCACAAAAAAGTCTCTTGGAGCCATAGCCTAAACCCAACAGGAAGTTGGCCATTTTGAATTTTACGTCAAATTTTGGATGATTTACACACTTCGTACTTTAACGAACTCCTCCTAGGGATTTAGTCCGACCGACCTCAAATTTGTGCTGTGCCTTCTAAAGGCATTGAAGATGAAAAGTTGTGCTATTTGCAAGTTTTCGTCAATGGGCGTGTCCGTGGCGTGGCGTCAAAGATCAGCTCTTCGCCATGACACGGAAGTTGTCGTAACTTCAGTGTACATGCTCACATCTGGACCAAACTGTACATGTAGGATGAGAGTCCCGCCCTGAACACATGTACATGCTGACATTCACCCACAGTCATAGCGCCACCTGCTGGCAACAGGAAGTGAATTTTAACGAAGCAGCCCCCGCCGCACGTTTTACCTACGTGCACGAATTTTCTGTGGTACGTGTATCTTGTCCAGACGCACAAAAAAGTCTCTTGGAGCCATAGCCTAAACCCAACAGGAAGTCGGCCATTTTGAATTTTACGTCAAATTTTGGATGATTTACACACTTCGTACTTTAACGAACTCCTCCTAGGGATTTAGTCCGACCGACCTCAAATTTGTGCTGTGCCTTCTAAAGGCATTGAAGATGAAAAGTTGTGCTATTTGCAAGTTTTCGTCAATGGGCGTGTCCGTGGCGTGGCGTCAAAGATCAACTCTTCGCCATGACACGGAAGTTGTCGTAACTTCAGTGTACATGCTCACATCTGGACCAAACTGTACATGTAGGATGAGAGTCCCGCCCTGAACACATGTACATGCTGACATTCACAGACAGTCATAGCGCCACCTGCTGGCAACAGGAAGTGACTTTTAACGAAGCAGCCCCCGCCGCACGTTTTACCTACGTGCACGAATTTTCTGTGGTACGTGTATCTTGTCCAGACGCACAAAAAAGCCTCTTGGAGCGATGCCCTAAAATCAACAGGAAGTAGGCCATTTTGAATTTTACGTCAAATTTTGGATGATTTACACACTTCGTACTTTAACGAACTCCTCCTAGGGATTTAGTCCGACCGACTTCAAATTTGTGCTGTGCCTTCTAAAGGCATTGAAGATGAAAAGTTGTGCTATTTGCGAGTTTTCGTCAATGGGTGTGTCCGTGGCGTGGCGTCAGAGATCAAGTCTTCGTCATGACACAGGAAGTTGTTGTAACTTCAGTGTACATGCTCACATCTGAACCAAACTTTACGTGCTTGATAACTCTCCCACCCCGTTATGGAGGACCGATCCTGACACAGTCAGAAATAAATACAGAAATAAATAAATGCTCAATAAATAAATAAGCATCCAATTAAATACACAAAAAAATAAAGTAAATAAATAAATGTAGGTAGTAATTAAATTATACAAGGAGACATAAATGTATATATTTTAATTAGTGCCTTTACTATTCACCTTTGTTATAATTACCTTATTTGTTTATTCAACTTTATTTATTACAAATTTTTTTAATGTATTTATTTATGTGTGTGTTTTAATATTTTTGTCTGTTTTATTCTTCCTTTGTATTTATTTACCTTATTTATTTTCACCCATGGTATTTATTTCTGCCTGTCTTTTTTAAATTTTTGTATGCATTTCTGCCTCATTATGCAAATGAGGAGGGGCTGTGTCTCAAGGGGTCATCTTCTCTGCTATTGGTGGACCAGTCAGACAGGAGAGCTCCTACTCTGCCTGCAGACATCAACGATCTTGCCCCTCACACAGTCAGATGGCTTCCTTCAGTGCGCTGAGGTGTTTAACAACTCTGAATACAATACTACCAGCAATGTCTTCCTTCTCTTTTCACGTAGACGCTCCGACAGACGGTGCTTTCAGTTTGCTGCATGCATGGACACAGAACTGCGGTACAGCACACAGTAACGATGAAATGTGTGCTGTTCTCACATTCTTCCTCTGTATGTACACATAAACAACAAGGCAGGGAAATATAAAAGGAATTTATTTTATTGTTTGGGTACATTATTGTTCAGTGTACATGCTCACATCTGAAACAAACTTTACGTGCTTGATAACTCTCCCACCCCGCAGACATCTACACGCCAACACCGATTTATATTCATAGCGGCAAGTGCTATGTAGCTCCACATAGGGGACACAGGAAGTGACATATAACACCTTCATGCGGCGTCATAACCGCGTAGCAAATTCACAGCCGCACCGGCAGAGCTCCAGAATATGCAACTCGGCCGGCTCACACGCGGACGCGCTTATAAGTGCGAGGGCCCGCCCAACGCTGCTTGCAGCTTTAATTATTATTATTATTTGTTGTCTGCCGCGCCGGCTCAAATTCCCGTGAGCTGGAATGAGCTAGAAACATGAAACTTGGGGAAATAACTGGAAATGGTGTGCATCAGCTTCCATAGAAATATGAACCCAATCGGCCGCATGGTGGCGCTATAATTAAGGCTTAAAAATGCAAACTTTGAAAGGCCACGCCTCTTACACCGTAAGTGTGATTGACTTTAAATTTCACACACAGGTGCAGCTCAATGTGCTCTACAAAAAAGCCTCAAGGACTATTAAGGTCCGCCTAGAGTTTTTTTCCGCCATTTTGAATTTTTTGAAAATCACATTTTTGACATCTCCTCCTAGACCGTAGCACCGATTGCCAACAAATTTTCAGTGAATCATCATTGGATCAAGCCTATTAAAAGTTGTATAAAGCATATCGATATGTCAATTACTTTTCTTTGAAAGGGGCGTGGCTCTGGACATAAATGACCACAAATCAGCAACCGTAGGGCCAATCATCACAAAACTCATAGGATATGTTCAGATAGGTGCCCTAGATATAGAAGTCGGACTGATAGAGTTATAAAGAGAAAAGATTCAGTCCTGCCTGTGTGTTTCCTCCCAAGTAGGCGATGCTCCATATGGCCTGGATGAGCTCTGATCCTGCCTGGTGTTTCCCCAGAGGAATCTCCAGACGAGGAGTGTCGCTGTACTGGATCACAGCCACCTACAGCAGACACAAAGCAAAGTAGGTGCTGTGCAGGTTTACTCATATTCTGTGGCAAGCTGGGTACGGACACAGATACACCAAGTTCTTGATTTGACAGGAGGAAACAATCAGGTGATAGTACTGAGACTGGCCATGAACAGACTCCATAGGTTCAAACATACAGACTCCTGTGGTACCTGTGTGTAGTGGGAACTGATGTCAAATTTGCTGCTGATGTTGACAAGCCACTGCTTGGCCGTGTCGAAGTCAGAGAAGCCAACACTCCATGAGCCATCAACAATGTAGACCAGGTCATTCACAGCTGTGCTGCAGCCTACACACACACACACACACACACACACACACAGTGATCAAAGAGAAATATCTTAAACATACAGACTGATATAAACTGAAATTCTGCACTTCCCATTACGTTTCAGACTCGAGGTCAGTATCTGACGCTGTCATCATTTTAACCGTGAAATATATCATCCCAAATCAGACAAACAGAGCGTCCTTCAGGTATGGAAGTGTTGCTATTTGCTTGTGTTTTCACGTGGTGCACTTTGTTGGGCTCTGTATAACAGTCATCCCTACCTGCTCGGACATCGTCCACCTCTACTGCCTCCAGGGGGGTCAGGAGCAGTACTGCACTCCATACTGACCACAGCAACATGGCTCCGTAGGAGAGCGGTCTACCTCGGTCCAGCCCAACCTGGCTACTGTATTAGTGTTAAAAACAGCAAAGATAACAGTTGTGGATATTCATGATGCCAGATGTTGATTCCTAATGTGTTTGGTAACCTCCCAGCCTTTCATCTAGCACCACGTCTTTAGTACATTCATAGTCCAGACAGGCTCAACCCTGTTTACAATAACTGACAATAAAACAATGTTATGTGTTGTTTGACTTAGTGACTTAGTGAGTCTAAAATGTGTGAGACAACGAGAGAGAGAGAAAGGAGAAAGGTCTACGTCTGCTATCTGTTTCAGTGCAGATACATACTAAAGCTGAACTAAATACCCACACATCTGTCAGCCCATCATGGCTGCTTTGGCCTCTGATGTTTTCAGTCTCTGTTTGCAGCTCTGCATGTCTGCTCCCAGCAGTAAATCCAAACACCTCTCTCACTTATGGAATGCATACAGGAAAGGGACATTTAGTCTTTACGGGCTCTTTAGTTCGTTGAAGTATTTGATCATGGAGATCTTTAAAGAGAAATTTAACACCAAGCTGAAAATGATTATTATCTTTGACGTTTCGAATCTCTTGCTCTAAAATCTGCTCTGTTCGGGTGCGCTGCATCTGAAGCAGTGACGTCAGTGTGCAGGAAACACTTCTACACAGGTGTAACAAGGTGAGAACTGATTTCAGCCCAAACTGTTGCTCTTTAAGTTTTGACTACTGAATTACAGCATGCAAGTGTAATAGCTCACATCATGTCCAAACAATGACATGCTGTACACATTATAACGCATACAGAGCTAATACAGTGTGTTTCTTTCCAACAGTCAATGAATAGACTGTTGTAATGCTACGATGGCACATATGATCATATGATATGATCATGCACAGAATGACAGTGTAACTGTGGTGGTGGGATGGAGGGGTATATTTTCTGTTTCTAGTTGGTTATATCTTATTTCACCATTTTTATTCTGCTCTTCACACTCCACCTTTTTTAGAGTTTCCTCACTACTTCAGTCTGCTCACCTTGCTTTTCCCTTCACTTATCTTTTTTCCACACACCTACTGTCACTGCAGATACACCTGCTAGCCCCGCCTCCTCCTGTCTCTCTCTCTCTGTATGTGTTTGCTCTGCTGACTTTCTCCACCAGAAGGATGTTTTAAAAAGTCGCCAAAAAGACTCAGAAATTGTCTTTTGGATTTTTGTCTTTGGTATTCTGTTTTCACAGCAGCAGGTGCACCACATGTGGAGGAGTATCATTAATAACAAAGCCTATCGAAATAATCAAAACCAACGTGGTACCAAATGACATCTGCACTGGTGTATTCACCACACCTGTCGTTTCCTCACCACTGTGCTTCCTTCCTCCTCCTCTCCCCGGTAAAATGCTTTTGTGAGCTTCCATGTTGTGCCATGCAACATATGGTCTAGTAGTGTGTTTTCTGTGGAGCTCTCCCTGTGTTCATTTTGCTGCTCAAACATGGTTCCACTGACCACAAGGCTGGGCTGGAGAAAATAACAACGTGAGCACTCTGCTGGGATGGGAAAACAGAAATCTAAACATGGCTGAGAGGGCTGCAGTGTGCTGGCAGAAGCAATAAAGACAGGGGAGGATCAGTGCAGCTACCACAAGCTTTCTTATGGAAAGTATCCTCCCAGTACTCCTCTTTTTTCTCTTCCTCTCTTGTTTAACTTGCTATTATAGAACCACATCTCACCAATTTACTTCCACATGTAACTTGTTTTTACCCCCAAACAAAGTTAACAATGCAATGTGGAAGGACCAGAATTAAAATAAATAGCTGGTAAAAGTGAATGTGTTCAGTACAGACTCCTGCTTGCAGAAATGCATTAACAATACCATACCAATACTGTGGGCTGCATCAGGGGAGGATATGAAAGTGAATGTAGGGGCACAGTTAGTGACTATGTGGACTGGTGCAACAATAACCACCTAAGGCTCAATATCTCAAAGACCAAAGAAATGGTCATTGATTTTAGGAGAAAGAGGCCCAAACCACATCCAATCTCCATACAGGGATCAGATGTAAAGCTTGTATCCAACTATAAGTACCTAGGAGTACAACTGGACAATAAACTTGACTGGTCCAGCCACATGGAGGCGATATGAAAAAGGGTTAGAGCAGGCTATATTTTTTAAGAAGGCTGTGATCTTTTAACATCTGCCAACCTTTGCTGTGCACCTTCTATAGGACTGCTGTGGCCAGGGCTCTTTCCTTTGGTGTGGTGTGCTGGGGGGCGGGCGCTCGCACATCTGACTGGACCAGACTAAATTAAAGCTGCAAGCAGTGTGGGCGGGCCCTCGCATGTGTAGCGTGTTGAGGTGTGAGGCGGCCACGTTGCAGATTCTGGAGCTCTGACTGTGTGGCTACGTGCTTCGTGATGCTGCACAAAGGTGTTACAGTTTTCACCCATTGCTTGAACACTATAGACACATGCTTAAACCAAAGTAACATAACTTGAAGTTGTTGTTACTATACCTTAAACAAAAGCGCTGCTTTGCACTTTAGTTGCAATTCTGTAACACACTTGCTCCTTTCTGCAACACACTTGCTCCTAGACACTACACACTATTTCATATATAAGACACTTAGCTCAAAAATGAAATCTCAGGGTACTATTGGGAAAACACATCTATTCAAAATACAGTATCTATCTATCTATCTATCTTTCTATCTATCTATATAAATACCCAAACATCTGTCAGCCCATCATGGCTGCTTTGGCCTCTGATGTTTTCAGTCTCTGTTTGCAGCTCTGCATGTCTGCTCCCAGCTGCCATTTAAATACCGTGCCACAGTAAATCCAAACACATCTCTCACTTATGGAATGCATACAGGAAAGGGACATTTAGTCTTTACGGGCTATTTAGTTCGTTGAAGTATTTGATCATGGAGATCTTTAAAGAGAAATTTAACACCAAGCTGAAAATGATTATTATCTTTGACGTTTCGAATCTCTTGCTCTAAAATCTGCTCTGTTCAGGTGCGCTGCATCTGAAGCAGTGACGTCAGTGTGCAGGAAACACTTCTATACAGGTGTAACAAGGTGAGAACTGATTTCAGCCCAAACTGTTGCTCTTTAAGTTTTGACTACTGAATTACAGCATGCAAGTGTAATAGCTCACATCATGTCCAAACAATGACATTTTCCCTCATTATAGGCATTGCTTTAAAGTAGACCAGTAGCTAACAGTGGATTGTAAACTTTTATTAATTACTGGTGAGTTTATAGATTAGGTCCCATAGAAGATATGTTACTGCAACAGACACAGAAATAGAGATCCAGAAGGGACTCCTGGATCCTTTAATAGTGTTGTGTAACAGCTTGAACAATGGGTGTGATTGATTGACTGGCATTAAGTTTAGATTCTAAGATAAATTCTTACTTTAAGATTCAGGTCATGTTTGCTAAAACATGCTGAATGCTTAATTTCTTCTGCTGATAGCATCTATTTGGCTACAACAACTGTGAATGAGTATTTCTTTTTTTCCCTCCCTCCCCTTTTCTGTACTTCTCTTTCTCTTTTTCTTGTGAAAGGCCCAGGGTTCAGTCACACAGGTTTTTCTTACTTTGTGTGCCTGAGTAGGCCTCGCTAGGCTATGCTTGGTTAACATAAACCTCAACCTCATATTTGTTTGGTTGCACCAGTTGCAACCTTTATCATTCTTATAGTTCATCAAGTTTGGTGATGCCACATAATTCCAGCACATAGCACTGCCCATCTTAAACCTGAGCAGAGGTCTAATCAGCAAGAATATACAAAGACACCTGTGCAGAGCTTTTACTTGACTAAATCACCCCAATTAGTTTTAAGCCTCTTCTATCTTGACCTAAATTGGTCCAGACACAGTGCAAGCTAATGCTAACATAGCAATGCTCTTTCATTAGGTGACATACAGAAAGCTGTTAGAGTGGAATCAGTGTGCATTGAAGACCAGAAGAAAGACTTTGTCTTATTAACCGCTTTTTTAAAGGGGTGAACAAAATAAGAAGCCTATTGTTTTTCAGCCTAAAAGTAGAAAACAACAGTAAACAAAGCCAGGACACAATGGACTTTTCTTTCAGCAGACATTTTAAATGATCTGATATAGAGTAGATGTAGCTAATAATCTTTTCATGGCTGCATTCCTTTTAGAATTGCACTCATAAGACATAAGAAAATTTCATCCGCTGGGGCCCTGCTGTTGCTACAGATCTGAGGTGTTCCCACAGTTGAAATGTCTAAATACGACCTGCATTTGCATTTACAGATAAAGAGCAGATCTGGAGTAGGCCAGGCTGGATGGATGGGTCAACAAAGTGTGTGACATGTCTACATTGGTTTCTTCTGACCATGACCACAATCTTTTCCTAACACTAAACAAATGTTTTTTGTGTATAAATCTAACTAAACTTTAACCATAGCCATGGCAGATTTTTTGAAGGCATTGACATACTGTGCTGGGACACCAGATTAAAAAATACTGTGTTTTTAAAGGCAATGACAAATCACGTATGTTGTTTTGTTCTCTAAGACGCTCTTCAGTTTACAGCAGCTGGATTCTGGATGAGACTGAGCCGAACGGCAGCAAGTGCACTTCCATCCAACCATGAGTGGAAATGCTGGACAAGCTAAAACGTTTTACGCTTGGCTGAGGTAGAAAGTTGGTGTATCAAAAAAACTACATGCAACAAAGTGCAAAAAGATTTAGCAAATACACTTTACCGTACATGAAGCAGGGACGTTTGTGTCATGCCTTCCACACAGACACCAAAAATACAAACACATTTCCAGCTTTGCACTTATGATCCATTCTGCAACACACAGTGCAAAACACTGCACACAGTTTCTTACCTTGCACACTTTGTTCAAGAATTAAAACTCTTGCAGTTATTGGGAAAACAAGAACCATTCAAAATGCTAAACACATTTAAAATTGGCAACACCCACCCACACAAACACATTAAAACACTTACACAGTAACTGAACATCAATTAAACAGCTGTAGCACTACACATAGACCTC